ATTATAACCGTTAGATTGACAGAAATCAACGGTTACAATTTAATAGTAACAAAAAAGATAGTATCTATAACCTCTCCCATATAATAATAGATTAATTTTAACAAAAAAAAGTAACTCTAGTGGTAAGTACTTCATTATTCAGGATTGTTTTAGCAACATTCAATTGTTGTCCCAACCAAATAAGAGAGAAAAAGAAGAGGAGCTCAACATACATCACTCACTTTGGCTTAATTCAATATAAGAAATAAACAAACAAAACACAAACTGACAACAATTGTAAATTGGAGGGATCCAAGGGGAGGGAGGGAAGCAAATTGGAGGATATTCCCTTTCTTTTTTTGGGAGTTAAAAAAGGCAAGGGAGAAAAATAGAGTAATAATGAGATATTGTTACCATCTTAACCTTTTTTAAAAAGTTAATATCATTATTATATTTTACAAATTAAATTAAATTTAAAATTTCTAACAAAATTAATTAGGTATTTTTCACACTACTAAAAAATATCATATTTTCGACGAAATTTATACGTTGCAAATGGAAAAAATTCTATCGAAAAAGTATTTTCCTGTCGAAATACTTTCCGTTGAAAGGAGACAAAAATTTTTATCTCTCGAAATTTTTTACAAAAATAAATTTTCTGTCAAAATTTATAAAGGAATTTAGTTTCCGTCAAAAGTTTTGACGAAAATAATTTCTTAGATATTTTCGAAGAAAAAAGATTCCATAAAAAAATATGATGAAATATTTTTCGTCCAAAATTTTCGATGAAAATGTGTGCCGACGAAAATATCGACAAAATTTTTTTTGTCAAAAATTTTGAGAGAAATATTTCTGTCGAAACTTTCAACGAAATTTAGATTCCGTAAAGAATTTTGACGAAAAATTTTTCCGTCAAAATTTTTTACATAAAATGTTTTTCGCCAAAAACTTTGACGAAAATATTTTTCATTAAAACTTTTGACAAAAGTATTTTTCGTTGAAAAGTTTGACGAAATGTTTCTATCGAAAGTTTCGACAGAATTTTGATTCTATCAAAAATTTTGACTGATTTTTTTTTCCTCAAAAATTTATGTAAGTGATTATGACAAAATCTTGTTTCGTCTCTAGTTTTAACGGAAATTTTTTTCGTCTCTATTTTTGTCAAATTTTTCGTCATTATTTTCGACAAATTTTTTTTGGTCGGTATTTGAGATTTTTCTAATTGTTTCACATTTAAAAATGATTCACATTTATGTAGTTTTCACATTTTAATACTAAGGGTAAATAAGTAAATTTTAATATTTCCCCCTCTTAAACCCCCGAATTTAATTTTAAGGGTGAGAGAGGTTTTGGAGGATTTTGCAAAAATCTCCAATTCTCTTCCCCTATTTTTTAAAGTCACAAATAAGGGAAGAGACTAATAAAATTCTCCATTTCCTTTCATTTCCCTCCTAAAACTAACTCTCATATATATGTACTAACATCTTTTTGTTTTTAACTCCACAGCCGCCTTATTATTTCTTTGCACTCATATTAAAATAAAAATAAAAATTTAACATGAATTAAAGAAATATAATATAAAATTAGTAAGACAATTTTTACTTATTAATTTAAACTTTAAATATTGAATAGAAAATTGATATTTTATATAATATCAGAACTTCTGTAATCTAAGTGGTTATGAGTTTAATTTTGATCACTTCATTCTATTGATAAAGGGTTTATTGTATGTCATTCAAAAGGATGGTCCTTTTAGATAAATATAATGTGTTTTTTTGAATTTTAAATTACAAATTTTTCCTTCCACTCTATCTTCTCCAAGTTTGTTCCTTTATCTCTTTTAAAAGAATATAATTGTGTAACCTTTAAAATGATACACACTTTTCCCTTAATAAATAATTAAATTGTATAGAGTTTTATAGCATAGCTAGTTGACATGTACATTATTCCTCCTTCGAATCAAATAAACTCTAGTGTGAGATAATGTGTTTAAAAAATATAAGACTATTAAGATGGTATTTACCTAACAATTTAGGCTTAAATTGAGGCTTTACAATTACATTGCATTTGCCTCCCTGCACCACTAATAACGAGGGAGACAGAGAGCTTGTAAAAAAAAATATATATATATATATAAAAAACGGAGAGAAAAGGGATATTTTTAGGGTTGGAAAGGAAATAAAGACTGTAACACCCCAAAAAAAAAAACACCAAAAAAAAAAAAGAGAGTTAAGGAGAGAGTCTAGCACTAGGTTCAAAGGGAAGGAAAAAAATTGTGAATTGTGAATTGTGCTGGAGTAGAGGTAGATCCTTCAACTCATCCCCTTTTCATTTGCTACAGCCTACAGTACAAGTTACCGATGATATGCCGGAGGCACATGACTCATGAGTCACTTAAATGTTTTTGCTTGTTCTATTTGTGTTCTAACTCAAATGAACCAACCATTATCCACTTACGCACAGAGGGCACACTCATTCATTAGCACCTCAATATCATGGAACTTAAAAGTACCAAGTTTGCTTTTCATTCACCAATAAACACCTTTGTCTACCCCATTTCACTGCACAAAGCCAAAAAATAAAAATTCACTTGTACAACACAACATTTCATACACGCCTGAGACTAAAAACAGTGTGTTGAGATATATAGTCCCACATTGATTGTGTGGGCAACTAATGTGGTCTTCTTGGGCACTCCCACCCTTTGAACTAACTTTTGGAGTGGTGTATATCAAGGTTCTTTACATGGTATCAGAGCTTGAGCCCTCACCGCATCCCACTTTAAAGTGGAATTAAAATAAAAAAAAAGCACAAAAGGTAAACCAAAACAAAAAATTGGGTCTGTGCAATTCCACGCTTCTCGCTCAAAGGGTTATTGCGTGAGGGGGCGTGTTGAGATATATAGTCTCACATTGATTGTGTGGGCAACTAATGTGGCCTTTATAAGGTCTTGGGCACTCCCACTCTTTGAGCTAGCTTTTGAGGTGGTGTATCCCAAGGTTCTTTACATGGTATCAGAGCCTCATACGCCCCCTCACACGAGAGCCCATTGGGCTTGAAGCGTGGATTATGCAAAGACCCAATTTTTAGTTTACTTTTTTGTGCTTTTTATTTTTAATTCCACTTTAAAGTGGAGGGCCGTGAGGATCGAACTCGTGAACTTATGGTCACTCAAGCTCTGATACCATGTAAAGAACCTTAGGATACACCACCCCAAAAGCTAGCTCTAGGGGTAGGAGTGCCCAAAGCCTTATAAACTCCACATTAGTTACTCATACAAAATTAGCGGTCCTAGATGTACCATTTTTTATTTTTTATTTCTTATTTTTGAGATATTCCAATTGCTTCGCGACTAATTCGATTTGGGACGGATCTCGGGACTAAGACTTTAAATATATCTCAAAGATGATCGAATACATGCTTTCACCCTACCTACTTAGTTGGCTTGGAAAATGCCCTTGGCTCCACCAGTTTTGAAACGAAAAACCTCACATCCTAATCCTGTAGCAAGTTTAGTGCCTTTGGTCTGGTGTCTCCCTTATTTTGGAATGTCCTTTGTGCTTGCTCTGCCCACGACCTAATTTGACATTTTTAAATTTTGATGATGAGCTAATTTTACATCCAACACAAAATCTATGTCGGTCCATCATATCGGTTCTAGTAGTTAACTCAAAATTTTGGTGTTGAGAAAGATGATACTTTTCAAGATTATTATATTCACAATATACATATATTAATAGGAGAGAGTTATATACCGGTTATTATGTAGATGGGCCGGTGAAGGATGTAGATGGGCCTTGAATAATCGATGCCTCTATGGAATAACATTAGCTGCCTGTAGTTCACTTTATTGTTCATGGGCCAAAATGCATTTGTGGTTTTTATATGATGACTTACAACTAATTTTTATATTTTATAATTTAATTTAATTTAATTAAAATTAAGAGTTTAATATAAAATTAAGAGTCTAATATTAATATCAGTGAGAGGGAACTATATTTTTTTCTACAACATTACACATTATCTTTCAAAATTGTTTTTTTTTTCTAGTTCATTGTATTTTATGATACATCATTACACACCCCATGATAGCATTTGACATGCACACAAAAATGAAATAGAATGAAAATATATAGTTCTATTTTCCTTGGTTTGAATCTTTTTAATGAAATTAAAATATATCATTTTCTCAATTATGTATATAGGGCGGGATTAAAGGAATTAAAGATTGATTTTTTTTCTGTAAACAAATTTGAATATTGATTCCCTATATTGATTTTTAATCATATGGTATTTTGTATTCGCAATCTCCTTTTTAATAACTTATTCCTTATTTTTATATTATCAAAAATTCAGTGTATCACTTATGAAATTTTTTAAAAAATGAATCTACTTAATTATATTTATTCTACTCATTCTTTTATAATTAATATATCATTTAAATTTCACTTATTTTTCATTTTAACAAAGAATTGTGTATTATAGGAATATTGAAGATTCACTTCTTTTTTATTGAATAATGTCAAATATTATCATAGTAATTCTAACTAAATCTAAATTCAAATTGGGAAAATAACATTGATATTTGCACATAACTATGTACAAACATGATTGATTACTAGTCCGTTCCGTTAGCTAAATAATACACTGTCAATAAAAAAAAATTGTAAATCTTTAACCAATTTATAAATGATGTAAAAATTCCAATGTGAATATATGTATTGATAATGTCCGTTAACTAAAAAATTTGTGTAAGTCTTTAACCAATGTATAAATGGTGTAAAAATTCCAATGTGAAAATATCAGAATTCTGATAAATATATTATTTGCCCTTACATATAAGTGCGAGCATCATTTCCTAGTGAAAATTATATATTACATACATACCATTTCCTTACATAGCACAGCTTTTATGTAGCAGCAAATTAATGAAGCCAACTTGGAAGTTTAAAGAGGCTTCAAATTAATGAAGCCAGGACAGCAACGCAGTATCATTGCCATCAACACATATTAATGTGATTATTTGCATAGTTATAATGCTATCAAAGAAGGGGTCTTCAGATTACATCCTTCTTCCACCCCAACCACTTTCACGTTGACAATTGAAATACACAGCAGCAACTGGTAATCCAAGATTATTAGCCTCTGCAAATTCTCTGGTTTTGAAATTTGTGCGACTTCTTGGAGCATCTACAATTTGTCTACTCAATTGTTGAAACAACACAAAAGTAATACGATGAATCCCCGATATTGGTCGTGGACTTTCATAGTTCACAATCTCTTGTCCTATAGGTGTAACAAAATGCATTATCACATCCGCAGATACATACCCACAAGAATAAACCATTTTCTATACTCTATTAAATTTTCTAAAATTCAACATATATTATAATTTTAAGAATTTAAACGATATCAAAATATCAACAACTAAATGACATACATTTTTTCTTATTTTAATTTAATATTTAAAATAAAATTTAAGTAACTATAAATTAAATTGTTGAATTACTTAAATTTATTTCCAGTAAAAAAAATTATTATTCATCTTAAGCTATAAAAGTTAATAAGTTGTCGTGGACTTTCATAGAACACACTCTCTTCTACTGTAAATGCGTTGGCATTACAGGTAAAATAAAATATTCAATTGATTTCCACCAAAAAAAATAAAAAATTCAATTGATAAAACTGCAAGACAGTGTATTATAGCATACACGTATTTTATAATTTGCTTAATCAAAATATTTACTATTTCTCAATATAAATTTTTTAAAATTAATTAATTATCATGTAGTTATTAAAGTAAATAATTGCATAACAAAATGAAATAAGGTGTTTTATTTAACAACAACAAAAATGATGGATGACTTCTTACACACACACATGAACAATCTCTAATTAAATAACTATCTCACAGTTAACAATTAGATTGAATTTTTTTTGATCTTTTGAATCATACTCATAAAATATAAATTACTTATTCTATTAAATTGTTTGCATATATATTAAGATCAAATCACTTATTAATCTAAAATTAATCGCATTCTATTAAATGTTTTAAAATTATTTTATACTATGATTTTAAGAAAATAAAAATAAAAACTCAACAATTCAATGATATATTTAGTATACTTTTACAAATATAAATTATTTTTTAAATAATAATTATTTATAATTAAAATGTTAAACTAATTATTTTTATTAGTAAAAGTTTATAATTCAGCTATGACAAAAATTAATAATCTTACAATTCATTTATTTTTATTAAATTGTTATATCTTAAAATACTATTCATAAATGGAATTAAAGACAAATTATAATATTGGCATTTCTTAATTCTCAAGTGATGTCAATATAAGGAGCTTAGATCTTATATATATATTCAGGGTGAGTATAATTTTACATCGGTGTAAGTTATACCTAACGATTTTGATTTATTAGAGATTGAGCCTTTAGATTCAAGCAAATCAACTATTAAGATTTTGTGTGAGACTTCTTATTCTTAAATTGGTATAAGAATATCCTGCCTCTATATATTAGTTTGTATAAAGAATCAATTCAATATTATGGAGTTTCTTGTAGGTGGATATGTGTATTGTTCACCTTTTAAACTCAAATGGACTCTTGTATAAGGTGAATGCCACATTTGGTTTAACCCAAATGTTTAAACTGTTAAGTGAATGTCACAATAATTGTTTTCTATTATATTTCTCTAACACGTCCCTTATATAAGAGCCAATTGTGAACAATGCAAAAGTTTATCTAACTGTCTAAGAAACTCTTGGGATGACAATTTTAAACACGACCCGCTGACACGACATGAGAAATTCATGTTCAGTCGACCCATTTTCAAAATCGTATCATGAACATGTTGGTAAAAATTGACATAAATTTTTTTGTGTCATGTTATGTGCCAAACATGAAACTGACCTGCATTAATCTTTTTACAGGTTATTTGTGTTGTTTCATATCAACACGACATCTGTAAAAGCAACATTCAATATACAGATTATTAATGTCTTATTATATCGTGTCAACCTGCATAATAAGCGATACACTTTGAAGTTAACAAGTTATATGTGTCGTGTTATGTCACGCCAACCGGCATAATAAGCTACACACTTTGAGGTTGGCGGGTTATTCGTGTCAACTCGCAAAATATGAAAGTCATATTTGTGTCAAAGATTTTGACCTGTTTTGAAATTTGTGTCCTGTTCGTGTTGTATATTCGTATTAAATTTGTTTCGTGTTGTGCAACCCGAATTACCATAACTAAGAAACTCCATAATATTTATTTATTTATTAATAAAATGTGGGTGATAAAGATTGAACTCATGATCATTTTATTAAAGGATTTGATACCATATAAAAATCAATTCAATCTAAAAGTTTAAATTATATATTAAGTAGATGTTAAATTAATTATTTTATATTATGATTTTCTAATAATTTCGCAACAAGTAGGCTATATAATTGATCAGTTACAAACAAATATAAATGTTCCAAGATAGATATATAGAAAATAAAAGCTGCGTACATACCGAAGCTTGGCCCTGTAGTTGCTGGAATATTGCTTACCAACCTAGGCATTCGATGAAGAAAAACAAAATTATATGTTATTAAATTATATTTAGGCAGCCTACTAAAAAAAAATATGTAGGCAAAAAGATATTTCATATAGTATTTATAAAAAAAATTCAGCTATAAGGTAATAGCTGCACTCGAATTATATTTTTAAATAAAAGTCACCTGATAGTAGTTTTTAATTTAGAAAAGAGGAATATGTTTCTTACGTTGCATAAAATATATAACACGTAAAAAAAAAAAAAAATGAGACTCACTAAAAAAAAGAGAAAAAAAAATTAGTACCATCTATTTTTATGTATGCATGAGATAAAATTATCTTATGCAACATGATAAACATATTTATCTCATGCATCATAATAAACATGTTTCCTATTTCCTTTTACAAAAATTAAAAGTAGCGGAGCGTCTGTGAGTGAGATATTTTCCCAGTGTCCCACATAACACATTAAACCGGAAAAAGAACTTGTGAAATTCTTATAATGAGAGAATCTTTTCACATGTGAAGAGTGTTTCCGAAGAGACAGTAAAAATGAATTCGAAGTTTTTAAGAATAAAAATTAATTAATTGATTTGTTTTTATTTTAATGATATTTAGTTATATATACTCAAAATGCCCCAATCCCCAGTCACACGCATATGATGCGTCAAGTGGTAAGAGAGGTATAGTTCTCCCCTAGTTTCAGTTAATACTTTTATATATCTGATTGCTGAGTCTACTTTATATGCAGTATGAAAGTGAATAAAAAGAAAATGAGATGAACCTAATGTTTTCACATGATATGAATGATTTGGAGTTTAGTAGAAATTAAAGTAAAAATACATGATTGGGAAGTTTAAAAAGCATATTAATCTATGATAGAGTGTATATAATATTTGTTAGAACCCAAAATAATAGTCAAAAGAAGTAGCTAAAAAGTTTAGAATATTTGGATGAAATCTCACATGAACATGAAGACCATTCTACGAGGAAGTATAAATTTGGAGAGAAATAATGATGGAAAAGAAAAGGCATTTATAGAAATCTGGTTGATAATCTTAAATTTATCTCACCACGACTGCATGACCAACTTTCCTGTTTCTATGAAGGCTAATATATATCTACATCCATGAATAATCTCATCCACTTACCAGTGCAAATATTCCCTCTGATTTTAATAGAGAATGGATCTTCAAATATGTTATGTGATCTCAAATATCTCATAAACAAGCGAGGGAGGGGCACTTACCAGTGCAAATATTCCCTCTGATTTGGATCACATGGGCTAGGTGCATCAGGATCGACCATGATCTGCATGCAATACGATAACAACGACCCTAAAATCAAAATGAAGAATAATATATATAACCAATTAATAATACATGTGTGTGGAGTTGAACTTAATTAATTACCAGAGTGTAAAAGGTCCTGAAGTCATGTCCACCAACTTCAACTCTTGGTTGGTTGACTATTTGGGAGGGCTTGAGCTCACCACAATTGATGGCTTCCGTGTTGTTGTTGTTATAGACAATCCTCAGAGACACAGAACTTGTAAAAGGATCTAAAATATCTCCTATTACACGTCCAAGAACAAGTGGATCCATTGATCTAGGCATAATTGATCGATTTGTTCCTTGATTTTAATTAGAAAGGTGGAAATGGCTATGCCTATTTATACATGCACTTCTGTGTGAGTAATTACTGATGCGCCGTCATTAGATTCTGGCTTTTAGATTTATTTCTATATATGTTAAAAGTTAACAACGAAAATAAAGGGCTCTGTTATAAGGAAGGATTCGACTTTCCAAATCCATAGCAATCAAACCACGGTCACACGCTCTCCATTGCCGTGCATCTGATGCCAAACTTGTGCTGCCTTTTTGTTTCAAGATGTTGTGGGGGTCTTTATCCCATGTATTGTGGTTGTCTACAGTTGTTCCCTCTTTTAATGTAACCCAAAAAATAAAAAATAAAAAATAAAATAAAGGAAAATGTCCCAGCATATAAAGGTATAAAGGCGGCTTGTCAAGGTCTACAGGTTGATTTGACTCTTTTTAAAAATTGTATAGAATTGAGCTCCTTTAAAAATTTATTTAAAAATTAAGCTACAAGTCACTTTTAGTTGGCTTGCTTCTAAGCTCTAGGCCCTACTCGTATTTTTTAATAAATAATTTTATTTATTTTTAATATAATATTATTTTATTTTTTAATAATTTAATACATTATTATTTTTTAATAAAATAATGTCTTATTATTTTTTAATAAAATAATATCTTACGATTTTTGTAATATTTCGCAATCTTCCTTCTTATTTGGAAAACATATATTTTCTTAACCCAAAATTTCTTCGCTTTCACCGCTCTTTTCCCTTCCCTCCTTCACCAAATTTTACTACTCTTCTACCAGTTTTTCAACTTCTCATCCCCTCCAATCTATTTATCGCTCACCATCGACTCTCAAGACTTTCCTATGAAGGACGAGTCAATATCACTTGCTATCAATTTGCTAATAAGAAAGTGCCTTAATCAATCAAGACATGCAAATTGCAATTCTTATCCTTTGGTGATGAGTATGAAGCAAAAAGTCAACAAAATATGAATCTCTTCAAGTTTTGATGATGTTGTTGAACAATTTATTGTCTTCAACTTTTGTCTTCTTTCATCAACACGATTATCATTTTTGTTGAGTGAAATTTTTTAATTCATGAGCGAGAGAATGTATTTCTTTTTTTTAAATGTAATTAAGCATTTTACTTCCTTGCTATTTTTTGTTTTTGATTTCTAGTAACATAGTTAGATTGTTAATTTTTTCGGTTGTTATGTGCATAGAAAAGAAATATATTCCATCAAATTAAACATACCAAAGAAATAAAATAATCTTAACCTATATTTTACATAATGCAATATGCCATTTTTGAAGGCTTTGTAGGCTTGACAACGTAGACCAAGCTTTGTATTTGAAAAATAAGTCAGGCCAAGCTTATAATTTGGCTTGTATAAGGATAACAAGCCAAACCAGAATTGAAATAATTTATACAAGCCTAGCTCGTTTAGGCTAAAGCTTGGCTTGATCTAGCCCATTTATATCCCTACCAGCATAAATACAGTTTAAAGATTTCGTTACTGATAGAAGATTAATATAAGAGATCTGGTTTGATTATTGATTAGGAATTTTCATACTCAAATTCAGGTGATATGATGGTATTATGCCTGATTACGTACAATTGTCACTAAATTCTGCATTGCAAGATCATTCATAAAATTATGTGTGAAATGGACCAAAAAGATTTAAAGTGAACAAATTCACATTGTTGGTCATTGTTGCAGATTATTAATAGGATGACGCTAGACCAAGAGAGAATTGGCAAAGAGGCCAAAAAACGCAATGCAAAAATAAGAAAATTGAACTAGAAAAGGGAAATTTGAAAATATTATTTCCAACTAACTGTAGTCACATCAGCAATTAAAGGGAGTGGATCTTTTCATGTGTTATTTAACATGGCCACAACATGTGGGAGAATCCTACCCATATAAGGTGAATCAACTGTGATATTTTTTAACTGCCTATTCCAATATTTTTCTCTATATTCCCTTAGTACCATTGATTCACCTTTATAACCACCATGTCATCTGGAAAAATCATAACCATACAATGGTGAATCAACGGTGATAATTTTGTAACAATCTATTCTAATTTTTTTTTCTCTCTCTCTCTTCTTTCACAATTAGAAAATAGAGGAATAGAGACAGAAAATAAGTCATCCCAATTTGCGACGAAAATTGTGAATGAAAATAATTTGCGACGGAATATCGGCCAATTCCCCTTGACAAATTCCATCACAAAGTTTGTCATACTTATTTCACAAGACCATCATAATTTGCGACATATAAAACTTTCGTCACAAAAATAACATACTTGCAACGAGATATTGCGATAAAAATGTTTACGACGGAAAAAGCCATCACAAACATAGGGAGCAAACATTGTGATAGATGTGATATTTTATTTGTCGCAATGTGCGATGGATTTTTAATGGTACTCCCCGATATAATTTGTGAGGATTGTTGTGACGGAACTCTATTTGTTTTTTTGTAACGATACTAAATTTTGTCACAAGTGTTGAAACATGAAATAATCTAACTATTTACAATTTTTATATGTTGACTCTAATTTAAAAGCACTTACCTTTTATTTTTAATTATTTTCACTTCCTACTAAAGTTGTTCTGCCATAATCTTTGTAACTACTTCCTAATCTCCTCGTCTTGTGCTCTAATAACATTTGAACTAGAGAAAGTGATTGTGACGCAAAAAGAACATATTTGAACTAGTAAGTTTGTTTGTTTTCGGTTTTCAGAAATTTCCTAATCATGAATATGAAATACAATTTATTAGAAAAGATCTATTCCCGATTTAAAGCAAGCAATCAAGTAGATCACACAATGTCTTAGTCCAGGGGGAAAAGACGAGAAGAATGTTCATCCATTTACACATTAGGATATCTAGCAACAAACCAGATGTGCCGTAAATCAATTAAAAGTCTCGATGATGCATCGAACTGTGATTAAGGTGGAAGAACAATTCAACATTCAATTTTTTCATTACATTTCTAATGTCATTGAATGCTTATAAAAATGAAATTAGTTTGAATATAAAGGAAGTACTTAAAGTTGAGATTAGTCAAGTTCGACGTGAGATGAGTACATTGCATTATGAAATGAGAGCCCAAAATGTGTGAAAATATGAAGTGAGTGAAAATATGAAGATCAGAAATGAAATAGCTACATTTGTGGTTGAATCGACACCTGGGAAGAGGTAATTCCTTCATTAATGGAGCGCTAGTAAGACTTTACACCCTCTTTGTAAGTCTTCTTCATCAAGCATTTTATAGTAAGATTTCACGAAAATAACATTCTCGTTAATTATTGTACGAATCGAATCCTCTGTACCTCGAGTCACACTTAACGGGAGTTCCATAAATGTTAGATATTGCGAAATTTGCATTTGAAAGCCAAAAATTGCGAGGGAATAATATTTCGGCCAATTTGAAATTCTGAAATGGAGCGCATACTTAAAAGTAAATTTAGATGATTTTTTTCCAGAATTTGAAATTAAAAAATGGTGCCAATTTTTGAATCGGCTTTAATTTCCATGGTGCACATACTATAGTATTGACTCAGCCAAACAAATGGTGGAAGCATTTATAGCTATTAATGACACATTTGCGACAGCTTTTATTTCCATCACAAGTTGATACGGTCGCTACGACAAATATAGTCTCAAGCGAATAGCCATTGGAGGCATTTTTGACTATTTATGTCACATTTGTGATGGCACTTTGTGTATGTCGCAAATTGCAATGGATTTTGTGATAGAATTGTTGTCAAAATATGAAATGACAACCAACACGTTTGATGCAGCTTTTCGCGATCAAAATTGTGGAATATTTTGTAGCTAAAATCCAGTTAGATTAAAAAAATTAATATATTTCCCTTTCACCTTTTTCACTTTCACTTTCAACACTCATCATTTCTTCCCTTATTCACAACCATTGATTGGCCAATATTTTGATCTCGGTACTCATGCTGAACCATTTAACATGGCAGAGTAGCCTAATCCAAAAGCTAAAAGGTTCTATAAAATGCTTCAAGATATACAGCATCCATTATGAGATTTTTGCAAACACATTGAAAATATTGAACACACGGCACTATCAGCTACCTTAGCAACACTATGATTAAAGAGTAATCATCGTATGAGTGTGTTTGCTTACAACAGATGGATGCAGTTGATGGTTCAAGTTGTTACTATTGAAAATAATTTTCTGAAGAATTTTTACCAATTAAAAAAAGGGTGAAAGAGCTTGGGCTTGGATGTGAAAAGATTCATTGCTGCCATATTGGATGTATGCTCTTACTATGAAGATGTTGATCTCACTAATTGTAGGTTTTGTAGACAAGACAGGTACAAATATGTGAGGAATGGAAGGAAGACATTTCGTTAAGTGTTAAGCAAGATGTGGACTTTTCTCTTGTGCCTAAACTCCAGAGATTGTATTCTTCAAAACAAACAACTGGTCAAGTGAGATGGCATCAGGAGCATAATAGAGATGAACAATTTATGACGCATCCATCAGATGCTGAAGCTTGGGTCTATTTTGATAAGGAAAATCCTGTACTTGTAGCTAAATTAAACTCTATAAAAAAAGAGAAAAGGGGATCGGTTCAGATATAGAAAAACTTCCAGAATACAACTCTGGCACTATTTTCTTCGTTCTTTCTTCTCTGTTGCTGGCTTGAGTCAGTTTTGTTGTTCTTTCATTTTAAATTATTGAACCTGTATTTTGTGTTGTAATGTTTTACGTTTATGTTGGTGTTTGTAGCTTCATCTTAAACACACTTTCTAGCATGAGCTAAGTACTTTTGTTTTTGGTTGAAGAGAGCAAGTATTTTAGCCATTTTATAGTTTTATTTTTTTGGGAATTTCTACACTGTGTTCAGTTTGTTCAAATTATGTTTTAACTGTGAAGTTGAGCAATATGTGAAGGATTCATACACAATATGCATTTTCTAGCAATATCAAGAATGAGTTTCGGCATATATCATCCCAAGGTTTTG